GAGGACGGCAAGAGGACGGCAAGAGGACGGCAGGAGGACGGCAGGAGGACGGCAGGAGGACTGGCAGGAGGACTGGCAGGAGGACGGCAGGAGGACTGGCAGGAGGACGGCAGGAGGACGGCAGGAGGACGGCAGGAGGACGGCAGGAGGACGGCAGGAGGACGGCAGGAGGACGGGAGGAGGACGGCAGGAGGACTCCAGGAGGACTCCAGGAGGACGGCAGGATGACACTAGGACGACAGGGGGATCGCAAGAGGACGGCAAGAGTTCGGCAAGAGGGCGGCTTGAGGACGGCAGGAGGGCGGCAGGGAGAGTGCAGAAGGGTGCCAGGAGGACGACGCCAGGAGGACGACGCCAGGAGGACGACGCCAGGAGGACGACGCCAGGACGCCAGGAGGACGCGAGGACAACAGGAGGACGCGAGGGCGGCAGGAGGATCGCAAAGTGACGGACTGGGGATGCACGGAAGATGGACGGACGAACAGCAAGCTGTGGGTGAGCCGGTGACAGCCGGCGGCAGCAGCAGCTGCACGGGGGAGCGCCCTGCACGCACGCCCGTTGCACGCCCGCAGCCCTGCCGCCGTGTGCTGCGCGGCCCCCTCCTGCTTGTCCAGGCGGACCACCCGCGGCACCTGCGGCACCTGCGGCACCTGCGGTTAACCTGCAGCGCCGGCAGCCGCGCTCGTGGCGGGTGGCTAATTGCGCGCCATTAAATCTCAGCGTTAAAATAAACGATTTCACAGCGAGAGAAAGGGAGAGAAAGATGGTCTAGGGGCGGGGCGGGGCGGGGCGAGCGCGGCAAAGAGAATAAGAGGGCAAAAATAACGCAGGTAGGGAGGAGGAACGCGACTTGTTTAGACAAAAGCGGAGTGTAAAGGAAAACAAACAAACGAACAAACCAACAAAAAAAAAGAGGTAAAAGCAACGAAGCTGCTCTTCGAGGCAGGCGGTGGCGGCCAGCGTAATCGCATGATAATGTCTGCCATACTGATTTGTGTCCGCCCCG